ATAATTCGATATTCTTTGTCATTGATAATCAAAATAATATAAGATACTTACTATAATTAAAAATAACAATCAGTAAAGTAAATAGCAAATAGAGATTTAATTATTAATATTGCATTGTTTACCAACCGTAAAAAAAGGAATGTCGCCTGCAGTGATGCCCATATTTCGCATATTACGAAATTGAATTCGTAAATTATCTTGAATACTCTAATCATATTTACAGTACACGTCAAATGAAAATTAATTGTAATTAATTGGTGATAACATTATTGCATGTGTATCTTGTGAGGGTAATAACTTACATCTATTAAATCAAAAAATTTTTGAGCTGATATCCTAAATTCTTCTTCCTGCTGAGCTTTAGTAAGCTTCTCTATGGCATTGGGCTCACTACCTTCTGAAGGAAGTGATCGATTTGATCCTAGACACATAATTGATTTCCCTGCTGTTTCCACAAGTTCAATGATTGACTGAATAAATAAATCAAATCGAGTTTGAAAGTTTGTTATAGCTATATTATTCAGATTCGCGTGTTTGTATAATGCAAGTTCATTTGATGCATACTTTTTTGATGTTCTCTAACTCCCGTATTCGTATCGCACTCAAAGGTTCAAGATTAGAGCCATATTCTTCTAGTCGTAAATAAAAATAACAATGGGATCAAATTATTTAACGCATTTGATACGATAATGCTTACCAGGATTCATTTCTGACATTTATAAATTTGTAAATTCACAATTCACACAAATCAACCGTCTATCTTTTATTTCATGTAAATAAAAATAGCCTTGGTAACACAGATTTTGGAATTACTGTATTCCAGAAAAATTCTTTTTCGTACTAGTAATTTTTGTATTAACGTAAATTAACTCAACCACAAGCCTTTTCTTTTTTGCGCCTCGTTTTATAAACAAACAGCCCGGGCTTTTTTCACTTCTATTCTCCATTTGTCCTCTTCTTATTATTCCTGTGTAAATAATGCGCTTAAGAAAAAACAAATGCAAAATATTCAAAGCCGACTTAAAAAAAATGTGTTCTTACAAGCCACTACATGATTCACGCCAAATACCATCTGATTGTTATAAAAACCCTTGCCCTTTCTGTATCTTTCACTCAATTAGCTACTGATACAAATTTCTACGGATCAAAAATTAATAGCACAAAATGAAATTCTCCTCAATTGCCGTTGTCCTAGCTTTATTGGCATCGACTACCTTGGCCAGTAAATTTTTATTATTTTCATAATCCTTAATAATTTTTTTTGTTTCTGCTACAACAAACCATAATCTGTTATTTTTTTATGAACATGGTTAATAGATCCTTCTGCCAACCAAGAGAAGCATGATGTCGAACCATACTACTACTACAAAAGAGAAGCCAACCAAGAGAAACGTGATGCTGAACCATATTATTACTACAAACGCCAAGACTTTAAGCGAGAAGCCAACGAAGAGAAACGTGATGCCGAACCATATTATTACTACAAATGCCAAGATCTTAAGCGAGAAGCCAACGAAGAGAAACGTGATGCTGAATCATATTATTACTACAAACACCAAGACCTTAAATGAGAAGCCAACGAAGAGAAATGTGATGCCGAACCATACTACTACTACAAACGCCAAGAATTTAAGCGAGAAGCCAACGAAGAGAAACGTGATGCCGAACCATACTACTACTACAAACACCAAGAATTTAAGCGAGAAGCCAACGAAGAGAAATGTGATGCCGAACCATACTACTACTACAAACGTGATGCTGAAGCCAGTCCTTACTACTACTACAAACGTGACGCTTCTCCCTACTATTATTACTAAGAGTTCTCATGCCTTGGGAATTTTAATGATCCATTATTTGATAACTTTGCATACAAACTTACAAAAGAATTTTCCTTGTAAATATTTTTTATAATTCTTGTAAATTCCTTTCGTTTTTATATGTACATTTTTAATTACTGACAAGATAGAAGAGCCTTATATAAGTATCTTACGTCGCAGATTATTATGATGCTGAAATTCACGTGATTTTGAATTGTATATAGATTCGAATATTATATTGTAATTACGAAATTACAAAATTATTAAAGTTTCTTTTTTTTTTTATACCAAAATCCCAGAAAGTAGAAGAGTATCAAACAATTTGTCATTGTAAAAATTTTGGAATTGAAAAATAAAATTCTTTATATTAAACCAGTTATCAATAATACAATCAAATTTGCAAAATACTGTGTAGTTTCTAAATATGATATAGAAATGTACATTAAAATATTGAAAATTTTTATAAACAAATTATTATAATTATTATAATTATACCTATAACATCTTTGGATTCTTAACAAATTCAAATAAACTTAATTGATTTCTGTGATTTTATTAAAAAAATTACAGTGATCCTTCTCTAAATGCATACTCCACAGGACCATAGAAAAATTTTTAAAAAATGTGCATTTATAGAGGGTGTACATTTATAGAGGTAATTTTATTAAGAGTTCTATATACTTGGAATCACATTTAGAAAGAGAAAATATATAAGGTGCATTTAGGGATATCTTTTTGTAATAATTTTTTGTGATTACTTATCTCTTAAATTACAAATATTTGTAGGCAAATTTGCTTGAAAAATTAATAAAAATATATTTATGATTTATTTTTAAAAAATTTTAAAAAATTTAAATAAAAAATTTTTTTAACAATATTTGAAAATAAGGATTATATTATAACAGTATTTAATTTTACATTATAAAAAAATTTTTTTATAAGTTACTTATAAGTATTAATTTAAAAAAATTTTTTTAAACTAAAAAATTATTAATTTATAGTATCTTTGATAAATCTTTTAAATATTGATTTTAAACAAATAGCTTTAAATATAATATTGTATATTTTATAATTTATTTGTAATAATTTAAACTTGTATTATAAATAAATTTTTTTTTTATCTTTAAAAATATATATATATAATTATAAAAAATTTTTATTAATAATTTTTTAAAATTTTTTTTTTTTTTTAAAAGTTCAGGCAAGCTCACTCTAAATTTTATTAGATTTGTTTTTATGAAACGTACATATATATACCAGTTTCTACAAATTGTTACAATTTAGAATTTACCCACAGGTATACCATCCGAGTGCACTTTTAACCCTACATTTTTCTATTACATCTTCCAGCCTTTTTAATCTGTAAACCTTCTCCAGTTAGCTCAAGCCACTTTTTTTTTTGTGAATTATCCATTGGGGTACTGTGTCTCTTATTACCATACGCACCATACGGTAGCCGATGGGACCTGTGGCCAATGGTTCAATACCTTTAAACTGCAGTTATTTCTTTTTAACCAGTAGTTGACGATCCTAGTCCTTTTAGGTAATACCAGGCTTCAAACGTAAGCTGCTTATTTAAGAGGGTGCAACACCTCCAAAGTCAGGCTAAGTCTTAAGGGGGATCTTCTATTCTGGCAATCGTTACCAACTAAGTACCTTCACTACAGGTAAGAATGGTGGGTATTGCTGGCAAGTCGTCACTCATTGCGGAAGGGGGGGAACATGTTGGACACTGCTGAAATCAGTTTCCAGTTTTGTGGCTCTCCATATATTTCTTTTATAGTCTCATGGACTATAGGGGAGGTGAAACGGCCTATTGTGGAACTGTGAATTACACCAAACTTGACAACGATTATTGTAACGCCAACTGGACGATCGTTACACCGCAACACCTTTTCTGGAAATCACAATCTCAACGCCCGCTGGATCAGCGTGTGAAACGGCTTCACATGAGAAACAGCACATAACAGATTATGGTGCCAGATATCATATTGTTCTATTTAATCACCTCCACCTGAAATTGAACCGGTATCTTGTGATTTGACCTGTGGAGTGTTAACCACTACACTATAGCCCCACAGGTCTATAATTTTTTAAAATATATTTTATAAGATAAATATATTGTATATTATATTATAAATAAAATATTGTTTGATCTGTGAGTCTATAGTGTAATGGTTAACACTCCACAGGTCAAATCACAAGATACCAGTTCAACCCCATATGAGAGCAATTGAATAGAATTAATATAGTACCTGGCACCATAACCTGTAAAGCACTGTTTCTCATGAAAGTCCTTTTACATACTGATACAGTGTGTATTGAGATTGTAATTTCTAGAAAAGGCGTTGTAGTGTAATGATTATCTGATTGGTATTATGAGAATTATCAGAAGTTACAAAGTATATGAAGTGTCTGCTTTTAGTATGATGGCTTGGTAATTATTTCTCTGTAGTACCTGGTGTCTCTTTCTACGATATAATCAGAAGGGTTCTATTTCAATCCAGTAATAGATTACTCTGTCAGTTACTTATCCCGAGAAGGTAACAAAATCAGCAGTAAGGCCACTAAAATTATTTCATTTGGATAGTAAGTCTGTGAGATAAGTTCCTTGAATGTTTTTGTGTAGCTCAAGGAGAAATAGAAATTAAATAGTGCGCCCATCTGCAGGTGGTCAGATCTGGAAGATTATTTCTATAGTACTCTATTTGCCAAAATATAGATACTATCCCAGTATTCCAATTTCAACTTTTTCTTAATTTCCCACAGTACTAAATAGAATATCTAGCAACAGCAGTATTAAATGCTAAAGTAAGCTTGATTAACAAGCAATGTGGTAGGTTGCATCCAGATGGCTATATAACTGTGAGCGAATTTTAGTTTATATAAGAATTTAATATAGATTAACAATATATATATCTTGTATATGATGAAACTCTTTCTGCTGATCCTTTTGCCAACCCAAAAAAACAGACGTTCTCAAAAAACTTTTTGTTTTTATGATAATAAAGTCTATACAC